CTTTGCCTTCAATGAATGAGACTTGATCAGACTTCTGTCTTGTCTCCATTTTTCGTGTGTCTTGTCCCACGCCATTCTCATCCCCTCTCTCTTAGGGTCTCATTCGACTGACCTATGGGACTGGTCAAAGCTGTGCTACAGAGAAATAGTAATAAAAAATTATGGTATTGGCATAAAAACACATAGACTGATGAATGGAATTGAATAAAAAACAGAGAAATAAATGCACATATCTATGGACAAAAAAAAGCCAAAACCGTACAATGGAAAAAAGAAAGCATCTTCCATCAAATGATGCTATTCTAATTGAATACCTGCATGTAGAAGAATGAAAATAGATCCATATTTATCAACCTGCACAAAACTCAAGTCCAAGTGGACTAGAGACCTGAACATAAAACTGAATAAACTAAATATAACTGAAGAGAAAGTGGGGAATAGCTTTGAACATATTGGTACAAAAGACAACTTCCTGAACAGAACCTCAACAGCTCAGGCACTAAGACCAACGATTAGTAAATGGGACCTCATGAAACTGAACAGCTTCTGTAATGCAAAAAACAAACAAACAAAACAACAACAACAAAACCCCACCATCAACAGGACAAAATGGCAGCCTACAGAATGGGAAAAGATCTTCACCGACCCTACATCTGACAGAGGGTTAATATCCAAAATATATATTTTAAAAATGCAAGAAATTAAACGCAATCATTCTAAACTATGCAAGTAAGAAATGGGGTACTGAGATAAACAGAATTCTTAAAAGAGGAATCTCTAAAGGCCAAGAAGCACTTAAAGAAATGCTCAATGTCATTAGTCTTCAGGGAAATGCAAATAAAAGTGACTCTGAAATTCCATCTAACACCTATCAGTGTGGCTAAAATAAAAACTCAAGTGACAGCACATGCTGAAGAGGATCTGGAGAAAGGGAAACACTCCTCCATTGCTGGTGGGAGTGCAAACTTTTACAACCACTTTGGAAATCAATCTGGTGCTTTCTCAGAAAATTAGAAACAATTCTTCCTCAAGACCCAGCCATAGCACTCCTGAACATATAGCCAAAAGAAGCTCCATCATACCACAAAGATACTTGATCAACTACATTCATAGCAGGTTTATTTATAATAGCCAGAAACTGGAGACAAACTACATATTCTTCAACTGAAGAATGGATAAAGAAAATGTGGTATATTTACACAATGGAATATTACTCAGCTATGAAAATCAATAACATCATGAAATTTGAAGATAAATGGATGGCACTAGAAAATATATCCTGACTGAGTCAACCCAGACCCAGAAAGATAAACATTGTTTTACTCACTTTTAAGCTGATTTTAGTCATAAAGCATAGAATAATTATTCCACAATACACAGATACAAAAAAAGCTAAATTACAAGGAGGCCCAAGAGAGAATCCTTAAATCTCACTCAGATGAGAAATTAAATAGGCATTGGAGGTAGATGGAGGGAAGGAACTGGTTAGGAGAGGGGGTGAAAAAGAGATCCGGAGTGCAGATTAGTTGTAGGGAAAGCAGGGGAGAGAGGGCCTGGTGAGAGAAGGGAAGTTGGAGGTGGGGGTCATCTCTAGGACTTGCCAGAGACCTGGAATAGGGGAGGCCCCTAGAAGTCTAGGGCCACTCTAGCTGAGACTCTTAGCAGCAGGGGATATGGAACATGAAGTGGCCCCCACCTGTAGTCAGGCAGGACTTCCAGTGGAGGGATAAGGACACCAACACACCCTCCAAACTTTCAACCCAAAATTTGTCCTGCCTACAAGATTTGCAGGGACAAAGATGGAGCAGATTGAAGAACTGGCCAACAAAAAAACTGGCCCTACTTGAGACTCATCACATGGAAAAGAACCAATCCCTGACACTATTAATGTTACTTCTCTGTGCTTCTGAACAGGAGCCTAGCATAACTCTCCTCTGAGAGGCTTCAACCTGCAAGCCGATGCAGAGATAGATGCAGAGATCCACAGCCAAACATGACACAAAGTAAGGGAGTGCTATGCAAGAGCTGGGAGAACAATTGAAGGAGCAAGAGCTGTTGAGGATTCTACTAGAAGACCTACAGAGTCAACTAACCAGGGCCCATGGGGCCTTACAGAGACTAACCCACCAGCCAAAGAGGGAGCATTGGCTGGTGGGTTAGCATTGGCTCCCAAGGACCCTGAGCAGATGTAGCAAATGTGCAGCTTGGTGTTCATGTGGATTCCCCAACAATGGAGCTGGGCCTTCTCTGACTTTGTTGCTTCCCTTTGGATTTCGTTCCCCTTACTGGGCTGCCTTGTGTGGTCTCAGTAGGAGAGGATGCTCCTACTCCTGCATCAACTTGTTATACCAGGTTGGATTGGTAGCCATGGGGACCTCCTCTTCTCTGAGGAGAAAGAGAAGGGAGAATGGGGGAAGAGTTTGTGAGTGGAAACTGAAAGGAGAGGAGTCGAGATGCAACCAGGACGTAAAGTGAATAAATACATTTTTACATTTTCTGTGAAGTAAATTTAGACTTATTTTGGCCCATAATTTTGAAAGATGAAGTTCAAGGTAGGATAGCTCTGCTGGTTTGAGTCTCTAATGGGTCAACATTGTGGAAGGAATATGTATCAGAGTGAATGCACACATCTCTAGGCAGGAAGCAGACAGAGCCATGCAGATAGATGGCCCTATAACCCCTTTGGGGCACACTTCAAAGGACCTGATAGCTATAACTCTAATAAGTTGCATCCCTTTCCAATTAAACCATTTCAGAAACCATGGCTTATACATGGGCCATTGGAGGGCATTCATCAAACTATACCAAGAAAGATTGTGACTTTCACCTTGTATATTTAAATACACCATTCCACGTATCCTGGCTTTTAATATTTGTATTAAAAAATCAAGCAAGTCAAAGAATACACAAAGAAATATCCTGCTTCAGATTTAACTGTGAAAAAAATCAATATAAACATGTATGTTGTAAATTAATGACAAAATGTTTTAAAATTAACTAATTTCTGTATTTGCATTTTAATCACATTCATATCTCAACCAAGGACCATCTATGGATATAACATAGAACTTCTGCTCGGATGTGGCCCGTGGTAGCTCAGTAACCAAGTAGTTTTCCAAAGTAAGGGGAACAAGGACTATTTCTAACAGGATCTCAAGGGCAGGCTCTTTGACACCTCCCCCCGGGGGAGGAGCAGTCCTGTTAGGCCACAGAGGAGGACTTTGCAGCCAGCCTTGAAGATACCTGATAAAAGAGGGTCAAATGAAAGGGGAGGAGGTCCTCCCCTATCAGTGGACTTGGAAAGGGGCAGGAAGGAGACCAGGGAGGGAGTTGGGGAGGGGGAGGGAATGAGGGAGCGGGATACAGCTGGGACACAGAGTTAACAAATTGTAACTAAAAAGAAAAATAAAAATTAAAAAAAAATAAAAAAAATTAATCACATTCATATGACATTCCTACACTGAACCTTGTACTCCCTATACTCAGCAAACTTCTTGTCCTCGATTTTTAATAACCTATTGAGCCCAACTTGTGCTGCTCATATAATTTCAATTGTGGGGTCATCCAGTATAGTATAGTTATTTCACAAGTCAGGGTTACCCTTAAAGATGATTCTTGCTTTCCTAAAAGTAATAAAATATTCATATCTCTAACGGGCAAGGGTTTGTGGATCCCTTCATTTTCTATACTAGAAAGTTCAACGGTGACTTCATTTTCTTTCTTTCTTTCTTTCTTTCTTTCTTTCTTTCTTTCTTTCTTTCTTTCTAGATAATAAGCAGGTAATGTATGTTGCTGCAAGTTTAACAGTGCAACCTTTCTATCATACACAGAAAACACTTTCAGCTTCCTCTCTGACCTCTGGCTCTTACATTCTTTTTTGGCCCCTCCTCTTTGACAAACCTTGAGCTTTGGGGGTAGAGCAGAGAAAGTTAAAGGGAGGAATAACAGCAACTAAAAATGTTTGGAAGGGCCATATGGAACCAGCTACCATTTGGCAAACTTCACATCAGCATATGAATACATATCATACACAGAGGATCATGCTCCTTTCAGAAGTCAAGGGTGTCGAATAAAAGCAATAGTCTTAGTTATAAAATGTCTACCTTTCTGTTGTTGGTCAGAAGTGTTCCAGAGAAACAGAAAAATACAGAATATTTTCATTGTTCTTGGTTGGTTATAAAAGCATGAAGGTATGATTCTATTGCTGAAGACATGAAAGGTATTTGTTTACAGGATATGTCAACATGTTACTGACCAGAAAACTTTTTGTTTTCAAATTTGGTCATTGTGAATGATACTAGATAGGATTCTTTGGGAGGAAAGTCACCAACAGTCTTGCCCAGCTATCAACCTTGTGAATTCCTAGAATGACCAAAATGGTACTGTGTCAGGGCATGAATGCAACAGTTGTGTAATTAGTTAGGTAGCCTACCACTTCCTCCTTCTATTTAAGTCTACTTCATGTGAGGAAACACAGGCCTGCTATTATATCCCTGTAAAGAACATATGACCGAGGAGCTCACAAGCCCTGGAGTGAACCTATCACTAGTATTCTGATAAATGGTCTTAATGGTAAACTGTCTTCTAAGATTGCATCTTTTACCTACAGATTAATTCATCTCTCTGATCTCATCAAAGAAGTTTCTTTTTGAAGTGAACAGTGAGTGGTTAACACAAAAACCCATAACTGGTCAGAGCACTAAGAATAAGTGTCAATGGACTGCTCAGTCATTAATGAAAAATTAAAGCTTTGCATGGTAGAAACAGTATTGATAATATTACTGAGAAAGTTTTATCACCATTAAAATAAAACATTTGCACATAATTTGATAATGAAAAAACATGTCAGTTGTTAAATAATTACTTTTCTTCCATATACAATATTTGCTTTATCAAGATAATAAAAGATAATTGAAGATTCATAATATTCAGATAGTGAATCAGTGTACATTAAATTCATATTCATCTAGGTTTGATTCAGAAGTTAAAATATTCGGTGTTTAGAATGCAATCTCTGAAGAACATATCAGACTTGAGATAAAGTCAACCTTCGTTTGTGGCTCCATCTTTTGGTACAACTTTCAGGACTACAGGTTTTTCTGGAGAACATATTGGTTTCTTACCTAATTTCAAGGAAAACTGCAACAGTTAGATAAAATCATTGGTAAGTGAAAAGAATCATCAAATTTCACAAAAGTCTAGTAGAACCAATACATCAAGAATAATAATGTTTTTTTCTGTGTTGTCACATGGCTGTGACCCTAGTATTCAGAAGTTAGAGGGAGAAGAAATACAAACTTAAGGCTTATTGAGCTACATAGCATGTTCCACACTATCTTGAATCACATGGACTGCTTCCTGAAAATAAATTAATCTATCTTTATAAGTAAATAAATATGACTTCTAACACCAAACATTTGGAATTGCTTATATGGTATATGAAAACATGCTTCAGTCTATTCACATTTCAACATTATATTGAGTAACTGTTCTTTATTTTTTAATATAATTTTTATTTATTACAATTTATTCACTTTGTATCCCAGATGTAGCCCCACTCTTGTCCCCTCCCAATCTCGCCCTGCCTCCCTCCCTCTTCTCCTCCCATGCCCCTTCCCCTGTCCACTGATAGTGGAGGTCCTCCTCCCCTTCCATCTGACCCTAGCCTATCAGGTCTCATCAGGACTGTCTTTCATAGTCTTCCTCTGTGGCCTGATCAGGCTGCTCCCTCCTCAGGAGGAGGTGATCAAGGAGCTAGCCACTGAGTTCATGTCAGAGACAGCCCCTGCTCCTCTTATCAGGGAGCCCATTTGAAGACTGAGCTGCCACCAGCTACCTCTGTACCCAGGGGTTCTAGGTTATCTCCATGAATGGTCCTTTGTTGGAGTATCAATCTCAGAAAAGACCCCTAGGCCCAGATTTTTTTGGTTCTGTTGTTCTCCTGGTTCTGATGTGAGCTCCAGATCCTTCCAGGTCTTTCTATCTCCCCATTCTTTCATAATATCCCCTGCAGTCTTCCCAAAGTTTGGCTATGAACCTCAACAACTCTGCTGAGTAGAGTTTTTCAGAGGCCCTCTGTGGTAGGCTCCTGTCTCATTCTTTATTTTCACCTTCTTCTGATATGCATCCCATTTGCCTTTCTGAATGAAGATTGAGCATCTTACCCAGGGTCCTCCTTCTTGCTTAGCTTCTTTAGGTGTACAGATTTTAGTATGATTATCCTATATTATAAAGGCTTGATTATCCTATATTATAAATTGTCATGGCATGTATTCCTTATTGATATTAATTTTAAATCACATACAGCACACATATTTTAAAAGATGATATAAAGTTAATTTTCATTAGTAAAACTGGAAAAGGAAGCATGTTTTTTGTACATGGTAAACACTATTGTTAGACCCTGACTTCTAAACAATATATTTACTTTTCAGTCTGAGATGTGGTGGTTCATGATGGAGAGAGGACTTTGGGAGTTATTATGGTATTAATCTTCTGTATGTTCTCAGAACTTACAAGGTAGTACCAGTAAGTAAACTTTCAGCCATGTTGACTAATTTTCTCACCATTATCTTCTAAGTTTGAGGGAATGAAAGCCTTCCTACAGAGTAATAATCCTACGTCAGCAGAATACTGTGCAAACAGCTTCTGATGCAGCTTGAAGAAGATGGGCTGTGGTAACTAGTGGTTGACAGAAGTTACCAGTCCCTGACTGCTCATGTCTAACGCTTACCTATTCTCAGAACAAAGTCACTCATTTGCATTTATATAGAGAGCAGCAAGATGGCTGCCCTAAAGTCTCAAAAGGGAAGATTATGACCTTATATTACTCTTTTTCCGTTAAGAAAACCAACTGACATTTGATGCATATTAAATACAAAACTTATGAAATTAAACACATTGGACATTGTTTCATTTAAATTAATGACAATGTGTTCTGTACATTTTTAACAGGATGCATTTCAAAGATGTTTCTAAATGTGCCACCTTACATAAAAAGTGCACACAGAAAAGGACAGGAGAATTTGCAAGATTAGAAAAGGTCTCTGGACACTGAACTGCCATGGGCTACATCTGTGCAGGGGTTCTAGGTTATCTCCATGAATGGTCCTTGGTTGGAGTATCAGTCTCAGAAAAGACCCCTGTGCCAGGAGCCAAGGCTATTTCCTGAAGACAAAGTCAAATAGTGAGCCAAAGCTAGTTAATGGAGACAAAGCTATTTACTAAAGCCAAACCAAATAGTGAGCAAAGGTCATTTAGTGGAGACCTAAAGCTATTTAGTGAAAGAGTGACCTAGGACCCTAAATCATGGGTGATAGATTTGTGAGGACATCCATCTGTTAGTTTTAGAGCATCTGTGAGATATCTTAAGAAAACATCCTTACGGTATCTTGCAGGTGCAATATTTAACCCATGGAAGCACTCTACCTATCTCCTGCAGCAGTAAATTAACCTTCCCCTTTTCCTGCCTTCTCCCTATATAAGTTGGGTAAAAATTTCTAATAAACAAGGCTTTGATCAGACAAACAGACTTAGCCTTCATTTCTCGTGTTTCTCGTCCTTTCCCCCATTCCTTCCACCCTCCTTTCTTTAGGAACCTGTTGAAGTCCCACAGGTCGGGGCATTTCTGGTGCCCAACGTGACCTACAGGTATGGAGGTCATACCTGGATGGAACGTCGTTCTTTAGTGGCCACTAAAATACATAGGATTCAGCATTTCCATCAGGAAACTAAAAAACTGAATAAGAGATCTCCACAGAGCCGCCCGTCTGTGAGCTTGATCGGAGAGGTAAGTCAGAACGATGTATTATGGGACAAGATTTGAATAAGCATGACTTATTCTTACAGGGTCTCAAGGAGCCCCTCAAGACGCGAGGAGTAAGGGTTAAGAAAAAGGATTTAGTCAGCTTCTTTGTTTTTGTTACGAATATTTGCCCCTGGTTTCCACAAGAAGGCACTACTGATGTAAGACGCTGGCAGAGTTGGAAATTGTCTTACAGATTTTTATGAATCTTGCGGTCCACAAAAGGTGCCTGTCCAGGCATTTTCCTACTGGAATTTGATTAATGATATTCTTTAGGTCAGACATTCCCAACCTGACTTGGCTGAGGTACTCATACGGGGATGAGGAGCTGTGTTTTTTTTGTTTTGTTTTTTTGTTGTTGTTGTTTGTTTTTTGTTTTGGGGTTTTTTTGGGGGTTTTTTTGTTGGTTTTTTTTTTGCAGGAAAATTATGCAGCTTGATGGCTACTGGAACACCTGGTGCAACAAGTGGATGAGGAATTTTCTCCTGACAATGATAATGATGTCGAAGAAGACCCCTCCAATCAAGATGACTGCTTATGTGCTGCCCTTAAGGAAGAGTGCTGCTTTTACACAGATTATACTGGGATTGTAAGGGACAGCATGGGTAAGGTTAGGGAAAGCCTAGAAGAGAGAAAGAGACAGAGAGAACAAGAGGAGAGTTGGTTTCATAATTGGTTTTCAACCTCTCCCTGACTCACCACCTTCCTTCCTTCAATCTTGGGACCCTTGGTGTGTTTCCTTCTCCTCATATCTTTTGGCCCATGGGCCATTAAAAGACTTACTGACTTTGTAAAACATCAAATTGACCCCTTGGCATCTAAACCCATACAAGTTATCACAGACTTGATTTGGCTGACAGAGGCTTAGCTGAACCTGAGGAAGACTGCTGACAGTCCATCATATGGGTCTTGACTGCTTGCGTTTGGCTGTCATGAGAACAGCATAAAACTCAGATAAATGCTTGCCTGTGGTAGCATGGGTACCTGTAATGGGGTGCAAGATGACATTGCAAGGGAAGGGCCCAATTGCCTGCTTCTGAGTCCCCTGAGAAGCAAACCTGATTGCATAGAGGTTGGTGTCTGATTACCCCTAACCACAACCTGCTGGGGATGCCCTCAGGTTTTGATAGGGTCTTCCTCTCCTCCCCAAAAAGGCACCCAAAAAGGCTGCAAAAAGCCTTGGGAGGATCAGGTCACTACTTCCCCCTCTGGTGAATGCCCACCATCTGCAAAAGAACTCATGTTCAAAGCCTACCTGCTAGCCTCTTAAATTGTTTAAGAAGGGAGGAGATGCCGGGAGCCAAGGCTATTTCCTGAAGACAAAGTCAAATAGTGAGCCAAAGCTAGTTAATGGAGACAAAGCTATTTACTAAAGCCAAACCAAATAGTGAGCAAAGGTCATTTAGTGGAGACCTAAAGCTATTTAATGAAAGAGCGACCTAGGACCCTAAATCATGGGTGATAGATTTGTGAGGACATCCATCTGTTAGTTTTAGAGCATCTGTGAGATATCTTAAGAAAACATCCTTACGGTATCTTGCAGGTGAAATATTTAACCCATGGAAACACTCTTCCTATCTCCTGCAGCAGTAAATTAACCTTCCCCTTTTCCTGCCTTCTCCCTATATAAGTTGGGTAAAAATTTCTAATAAACAAGGCTTTGATCAGACAAACAGACTTAGCCTTTATTTTTCGTGTTTCTCGTCCTTTCCCCCCATTCCTTCCACCCTCCTTTCTTTGGGAACCCATTGAAGTCCTGTGGGTCAGGGCACCCCTGTGCCTAGATTTTTTAGTCCTGTTAATCGTGTCCTCTCCAGGCTTTACTGTTTTCCACTTCTTTCATAAGATTCCCTGCACTCTGCCCAAAGTGATTCTATAGTAATGGGAACAGGGACTGTCTCTGACATGAATTGATTGGCCTGCTCTTTGATCACCTCCCCGTTAGGAGGGAGCAGCCTTACCAGGATATAGAGGAAGACAATGCAGCCATTCCTGATGAGACCTGGTAGACTAGGGTCAGAAGAAAGGGGAAGAAGACCTCCCAGATCAGTGGACTGGGGGAGGGGCATGGGTGGAGAAGGGGGAGAGAGGGCAGGATTGGGAGGGGAGGAAGGAGGGAGCTACAGGGGGGATACAAAGTGAATAAATTATAACTAATAAAAGTAAAATTTAAAAAAAAAACAAAGAAAAGGTCTCTGACTTCAGGGAGTCGGTGTTGTCCAGATACGTCAGGCAGGTGCACTTAGGTATGTGCACACTCAGGCCAAAATAGTGTGTGTGTGTGTGTGTGTGTGTGTGTGTGTGTGTGTGTGTGTAGAAACTCTGTCTACACCATTTTCTGAGTAATTTTGGCATGTGGTAGCTCCTGGAAAGGCTTTTTATTAACAGTGTGACATTTCTTAAGTACACAAGACTCCAGGCAAAGCTCCACACTTAAGAACACTAAAATAACACAAATTGATTTCTTTAACAGTAAGATATAGAAACAGAAAAAGAATACAAAATTGAGTGGGTAGGGAGGTGGGAGTTGGTGAGGGGTTGAATATTATCAAAAGGAAAGAGGATCCAAAGAGTCCTGATGAGACCTGATAGGCTAGGGTCAGGTAGTAGGGAAGGAGGACCTCCCCTATCAGTGAACTAGGGGATGGATATAAAAGGGGTGGGGAGGGAGGGTGGGACTGGAAAGAGCTGAGAGAGGGGGCTACAGCCAGGATATAAAGTGAATAAATTGTAATAAATGATAATAACAAATTTGTTCCATGTATAGTATATACTATGTGAATATGTTATTTAAAAAAAAAAACTTTGCTCGGCTTCTAAGATATCATACATACTGTATAAGGCAATCTACACTGACTCTCCATAAACATAGTATTTATTCTCAGACTCAGACTAACTGCTCCATAACTGAATGGCCCTAGAGTTCACACGTGTTTTTATACATTAAGCTCTCAGTTTATAAAAATGCTGATGAATACTTCAAAAATATATGCCAAAAGACAATATTTTCTGACTCACTTCCATTTCTTCACACAGTTTCAGGGAGAAGTTCTGCAGGATTTTGACAGCAGCAAGCTTCATGTTAATGAGAGCGAACCTCATGCCAATGCAGTTTCTAGGACCATTTCCAAAAGGCAAGAATACATAGGGATTGATTTTATCTTTATTCTTCTTGCTGAACCTAGTGTCAAATTGAGCAAGGACATAAATAATAAAACATGACATATACAAAATTGAAATGTTTGCAGTTTTCACTTAAACCCCCAGCCCGAATCATACAGTGGACTTCAATGTGTTGGTTTTCAAATCACATTGTAGTTAATTCATTCTCAGATTTTGGAACTTAAAATAATTTCTACACCTTCACATGTACTGTTAATAAGGTGATGTGTGGTAAATGCTCATTGAAGGCAAATGATTCTTTAAATCTTAAAATATTAAAGATGCTGTGGATTCTCAGTGGGAAAACATCACAGAATTTATCATGAAGGACAAAGAGGGAATTGGTTTTGACATTTAAGTTGGGTGTTTGGGGAAACAAGAAATATGGGTGTTACTAATGAAACGTCTCTACTCCATTTCCATTGTTCGTCTTCCTGTCTATTCTTCTCTTTCTATTCTGGTCCTTTTCATCTTCTTTCCCTTCTTCATCATCCTCTTCTTCTCCAACCTCCTTTTTTCCCCATTGAGCTCCTTTCATAAAATCTTCTACTTTCCCTATCTCTTCCAAAGAGTAATGAAGTAAAATTGCTTCTCCACTGTTGTCGCTGACTTTCTTTTCAATCTCCTTCATTAGGGCAACACATGCTAAAAGTACAGAACTATGTCTAAGTAAAACTTTATTTCTCATTGTGTGGTTGTTTAAAAATGCTCATTATGGAAATGCAATAGAGAAATCATAACTATCTGTCCTGGGATAGTTATTATGGATCAGAAAATACTCTGAAATATTTATGCAGTGGTGTATTCTGTAGAACAGATTTGGAGTCAGGGGAAGGTAGTGATAGTACATAGGTTGAAAGTTTTACTTGGTGATACCCAATTGCAAAGATGACACACAAGAAAAATATTATAACTCTTCTGTAAACATCTAATATAGAGTGTCTTTGATTATATCCTCAACTTTTTTAAGAGAGAGACAGTGTTTCTCTGTGTAGCCCTGGCTGTCCTGGAACTCACTCTATAGACTAGGCTGGCCTCGAACTCACAGGCTTCTTTCTGCTTCTGCCTCCCAAGTGCTGGGTTTAAAGGCGTGTGTCCAATGGAATACTACTCAGCAATCAAAAAGGAGGAAATCATGAAATTTGCAGGCAAGTGGTGGGATCTAGAAAAGATCATTCTGAGTGTAGTATCCCAGAAGGAGAAAGACAAACTTGGTATATACTCGCTTATATAGACCTACAAGATATGATAAACATAATGAAATCTACACACCTAAAGAAGATAATCAAGAAAGTGGACACAGGCGAAGGTGATTAATCCTCATTTAGAAAGACAAATGGGATGTGCATTGAACTTATGACAGGAGTCTACCACAAAAGGCATCTGAAAGACTCTACCTAGCAGTGTTTCAAAGCAGACACTAAGACTCATAACCAAACCCTTGGCAGAGTGCAGGGAATCATATGAAAGAAGGGAAGTTAGTATGATATGGAAAGGATAGGAGCTCTACAAGGACCAAACATATCTGGACACAGGGTCTTTTCTGAGACTGACACTCAACCAAGGACCATCTATGGATATAACCTAGAACTTCTGCTCGGATGTGGCCCGTGGTAGCTCAGTAACCAAGTAGTTTTCCAAAGTAAGGGGAACATGGACTATTTCTAACAGGATCTCAAGGGCAGGCTGTTTGACACCACCCCCCCCCGGGGAGGAGCAGTCTGTTAGGCCACAGAGGAGGACTTTGCAGCCAGCCCTGAAGATACCTGATAAAACAGGGTCAGATGAAAGAGGAGGAGGTCCTCCCCTATCAGTGGACTTGGAAAGGGGCAGGGAGAAGACCAGGGAGGGAGTGTGGGGTTGGGGAGGGAATGAGGGAGCGGGATACAGCTGGGACACAGAGTTAACAAAATGTAACTAAAAAGAAAAAAAATAATAAATATATTTCAGAAAAAAATATAAAAAAAAAATAAAGGCGTGTGTCATCACCACCTGGCTATTCGCTATCCTCAGCCTTTTTAAAAATTTGTATTTCTCGCTTCCTAGTCTAATGACTGATGCCCACTGAGCGCAAACTTTCTGACTGTTGCCTGAGTTGTAGTCACTAAGCTACAGGATTAGACGTGGTGAGTGTAGAGGATAGAGAAGTCTCTCAGCTGGAAAATAGGAATTAGTAGATTCTGTCCAACTCCTCTGAGTGGCACTGTGTGTGAACTGTCAACACCAGAGACATAAGAATTAAAAGGGGGGGGGGGCTTTGGCCCTTTTTTGAACCTCATCAAAAGAAGCACCTTGATGTCTAAATTCTTACCCTCTCAATTCAGCTTCCTCTATCTTTAAAATATTGTGTTTGTATAAGTATGGAATGAACAGCTTATATTTAGCAATAATAGTGTATAGACATATATGCATGCAGTAGCAGTTGCTGGAAAGAGAGGCCATAAATGTGAAGAAAAAGGGGGAGTGGTAATTGGGAGGATTTAGAAGGTGTAAAGGGAAAGAAGAAATGTAACTAGATTATAGTTTTAAAAATATAAAATAAAGAAAATATCATTCTGTACTATTTTATTATTAGCAGTACAAAAATGACAAACTATCAATAACTCTTCCCATGTTGCATACGGTGCCCATAGACTGGTTACAGCTCCCCATTCACGTAATACTCTGCTTCAGATTCAGGAAGGACAGAAACCTCAACTTTCTCCAGAGTACATGACCTGGCTTTGGCAGAGTCTCCCACGGGATAAGTGTGAGGGTGCTGATCTCACGAAGCAGACAGAACCAGGGCTTGTGTTGTCGCCCATCCTTACAGAGGCTGCATGAACTACCAAAGAGGAGGCCTTCTAGGCCTTCCATGTGCACCACACTGTCTCATCAAATTGATTATGGAAACGATTCTTAAATTTGGTGATGTGTTCAGAAATTACTTGTGACAGTATGGATATCCTCAAAAGAATATAAACCTAACAACTTAAATAAAATATTGATTGCCTAATCATGGTAATGTGGTCTATCTCTTTCTCTGACACAGAGAGAGAGAAGCATGTCATAAAGTGATGTTTTATATATTATTAAATACAGTCAGAATTTCTAGTACCAGAAGAAGCGTGATTTTTTAAATTTAAATACCTATACACACAAATATGTCCACTAATGTTACTACATTAGTTGGATTTGCATTAAGATTTTAAGACAATAAAATTTTAAATTGTAGTAATGCCATATTTTATAGGTTAAAATATCTGTAGTATGTGTAATAATTATCACTTTGTAATATAAATTTTCTAGGCAAACATACAATATCAATTTGTACCTTTGTGATTTTCAGTAAGAGGCATCTCAACATATTTAAGGAAGCCTGGTTCTGAGTGGGTTCCCCTTTCCATGGTCCTTGTACCTATCAGGGTGGAACTCCTCAGGCTTTGTCCAGTATTTTGGATCTCGGTGAAGAACAAAGACAGGTACAGACACCAGTGTCCCTTTGGGAATGAACACACCACTGATTTCAGCATTTTTCTTACCGAGTCTTTGAATCCTGTTAAGAATTGGATATAATCTCATAGTTTCCTTGATCACCATGTCCAGGTACTCCATCTCTACCAGGGCCTCATAAGTGGCAGGTGCCTGGGAAGAGAAAAACGGAGTTTGATGGTTAACATTTGAAATTAACTTTCAGGTCAAGCTCTACAGCACTAAGTTGTTAGAAACTTCACATTCAACTCAAATTAATGAGTGGATTAATCGTTATAAGTTATCCTCACAGAACCATGTACTTTGATGCACTAAACACCATTGAAATGTTTTGTGAAGTGGGTGTGGGAAGCTATTCAGACAAGCCCATCCTTAGAACCCAAATCTTCTGTTTTCTTTTATACCTCTTTCTTTTTCACATAATAAAAAATGGTATATTATGACAATCACACTCAAGAGAAATCAGGCATCAAGGTCATAACTTAATAGACAGATGACAAGACCAGAAAAAGAAATATAATGTGAAGTAATGCAGCTTATCTATTTTTAATGTCAGATCAAGCCTTTCAATTGAAAATTCATTTAAGGTAAATCTTTTGACTAAATTATATTATATTACTCTAGATACACAGTCTAAAAATTGATGCCACGTTAAACACAAATAGTATATAAAATTGACAGTTAATAACAAATATGAACTATTCTCTTTAAAACTCATGGTGGTAAAATAACTTAATAACAGATACTACTTGAGCAAAAACTTCAGTTCTAGTGAGAGAGCCACGCAGGTCGCTCCTTGTAAAGAACCTTGATGCTTTAAATGCTGTCATACTTAGCTTTATACATTTCATACAGCCTGTGGTTACCTGAGAATAAAACCTCAACTGAGGAATTAGAGTTTATTAGATAGGATTGCTTTGTGAACATTTAGGGGTAGATAATCCAGACTGTTATTTGATTAGCAGTGTCCAGCCCAAGGTAGAGAGATACATTGCCTGGACAAGTTAACCTGGTTTGTGTGAAAACAGCTTGATAAGCATGAGTGAATGAGGAAGCCAGCTACCAACCAGCATCCTTCATTGTCCCTGCTATACTTCTTTGACTATGAGTGAGTACATTGGTCGGCAGCAATGCTGTATTTAATGGCCAGCAGCCCCGCCTACAAGTTTCTGCCTTAAGTTCCTGCTTTGACTTTCACCAATGATAAAATGTCACATGTATGCTGAAATAAATCCTTTCCTTCCCAGAGTTGTTTTTAGTCATGGTGTCTGTCACAGTAACAGTTACTGACAAACCAAACACTCCAGCTCTGGTACCTCACTGCACAGAGCCAAGATTGGGCACAGCATCTGTAATGTGTGGCTGTGACTTCATAGACACTGAAGACACCACAGTGCAAATGTGAACAGTTTAGGTTGGAGGCTACACTGATTTGCCTTGTTCAAGACTGATTGTGATTAGAGAGGAATTATGTGAAGAATAGCTGAATCAGCTTGTCCAGACAGGACAATTACAAACTCTATCAGTCATCAATCATACCAAAGCATTTCCTGCATTAATGTAATAATATAGTATGGAATCACTTGCTTATGGTGGTAGAGGGAAACTTCAGTGATTAAGAGTACTGTTCACCCTTGCAGAGGACACAGGGTCACTTCCTGCTCTACACTGGAGCACATATCCTGGAACTCTTGCTCCAGGGGGTCTGATGCCCTCTTCTGGCTTCCTCAAATTCTAGGTATGCACATCATGAGCACATATCCATGCAATGAAAACACTCATTTAATTTTGAAGAAAACACCTGACTGGCACTTTTTATCCTTAAAAATCTAAAGCGATTTTATGTGTGTTTTAGGACTGTGACATTGTGGTTACAGAGAGTGGATATTACAGGATCAGTACAGAATTACAAGCTTACATTTTCCCTATACACAGTCTTTCGCTGTCTTAGATTTTCAGTGTCTATTGCAGAACGAATCAGTTCTTACTGTGTTTCCTATAATTCCAAATGAAAGTACGGAGGCAGTGTTTCTTGTTGAGGGGGCTCCTTCCCTGTGTCTCCAGGCACCATTTGCTCACCTTATGGGGACGGACTGCATCAATCTTGTGCTGGAGTTTCTTCTGGACATCAGGGTGTGTGGCCAGTGCGAACACAATGAAGGAAAGGGTAGTACTTGTTGTCTCATAGCCAGAGAAAATAAATGTCATTGATTGGGCTGTGATCTCCAGATCAGAGAGAGCTAAAATGAAATTAGCGATTTTATATCATTGATCAAGGCTGGTGCCTCCGTAGAGCCTTCACTCACAACATTCCAGCATCTTTGGTACAGGAAGGTGCTCTGCACTTTCCCTACAATTATGTACAGCCTTCAAGACATGACACGATAATGTTAGCACAGTGCTTAAGGGAGCAAACAACCAGTAACTGCTTTGACTTAGACCCACTCACGAACCAAGGACCATGCATGGAGATAAGCTAGAACCCCTGAACAGATGTAGCCCATGGCAACTCAGTGTCCAGTGGGTTCCCTGAGAAGGGGAACAGGGGCTGTCTATGACAAGAACTCAGAGGCCTATTCTCTGAGGGGGGAACAGCCTTACCAAGCCATAGAGGAAGACAATGCAGCCAGTCCTGATGAGACCTGATAAGTTAGGGTCAGATGGAAGGGGAGGAGGACCTCCCCTATCAGTGGACTTGGAGAGGAGCATGGGAGAAAAGGGAGGGAAGGTTCACATGTCATTGCCCAACGTATAATGGACTCCGCAGTTGGGCTGTGTGTATGTGTGTGTGTGTGTGTGTGTGTGTGTGTGTGTGTGTGTGTGTTTATTTTCTTATAGTTTGATGGGGATTTTTTTATTTTAATTGTGTTTCCTTGGTTTGGGGGAATATTGTTGTTTAATTAGGTTTTTGTTTGCCTTTTAAAAAGAATATAAAGTTAGTTGGGTGGGTAGGGATCTGGAAGGCCTTGGAGGCAGAAAAAATATGATAAAAGTATACTTAAATTAAAAATTTGTTTGAAATAACAAAAATTGGGCACTGTCTTCAAATGTGGGATAAATAATGAAATTAAATAATTACAAATTTCAAAGTATACATTGTAGTACTAATGTATAGAGAAAGCATTACTCTGAAATATATTGTAAACACAGTGGGTTTTTTTTCTATGGTGTGCTACGATATCGTGAAAGGAAAATAAATTTCCACAATCACTTAAGCTAGTGAACACACTTCCAGTGCATGAACCACAGTGAAAGGTGTTATTTCAGCACTGTACTTTCCTACTGGATGCTGTAGAAACAGATTTTCAGGTAGAGGTTTTGATTCAAATGGCTTTGCATGAGGTTGAGAATTGGCATTTGACTGATATAGGTGACACACACATCACTGAAGGCTTTTGGGGTGTGAAAGCCATGCTCATAACAAAACTTCAGATTCATAAAACTTTAATTAAAGTGTAATTATTTCATTTTCCCCTCCTCTTCTTCCTCTTACCCCTCCAATGACACACATCCACTCACTTCCAAATTTATGGTCTCTTCTTTAACCATTTTTATTACATATACAAATAATCAATAATCATATAAATTTAATCTGCTGAGTTGTATTAGTTTTTCCTACATGTATTTGCTTCTAGTAATGCTCATTTAGTATTGGACAAACAATCAAGGACTCATCCCTGGGAAATACTATTTTCATCTCAGCAGTTGTTAAATCCCTGTAGCTCTTCAGCTAGGGATGGGTTCTCTCAAGATTTTTTCCCCCATCTATTATGGAAATTCAGCTGTTGTTGGGACAATTCAGGTCGTGGTTAGGCAGCCATGTTGTTGAGATTTTTTGATTGTAGCATTCTTGTCATATATGGAAGGCACAATATCCTTCATATTTTTTGTAAACATGTACTCCATGATTTTAGAAAGTTCCTCAGGCTGTTGCACATAGCAGCACATGTTTGTGCCTTTCTGAAATTTAGCAGGAAGCTTTCTCTGTTTTAACGACCACTTTACATTTCAAGAAATAGCTCCTTCTTCTCTGCATATCTTTTAGACCCTATTGTATACCTAGTTACCTTTATGGGACCCACTTCTTTGGAATTCTGGGAGTTTATCATCAACTGAAGAAAATCCACACGATGCTGAAAGCAGACAGAAATATCAAAGGCAAAGGTGTGTTGTGAGGTTAAAGGGAATACTGAGTGAATAACTTTTGAGGATATGACTTATTTAAGCCTAGAATACACCTGCTGTTGCCTAAATCACTAGGGACACAAAACACTCATCAGATTTTGGAGAATGAGATGTCTATCATGGTCTAGAATCATGCTGTCAATGTCAAACACCTTTTCCTCATGGTTTTCCCTCATTCTGAGCATCTGAGCACAGACCTCTGATTGGATGGTGGTATTATGTGATTACATACAAAACTCCAAAAAACCAGAATAATAACAAATATGGTGTTGGAGGTTGGTCTGATGGGTGTTACTGGCCCTCAAAATGGTTACACTTATTCTTGTTTTGTAAACCTGCCTAAGATATACCTGATTGATTGATGAAATGGTCTATGCTTGGTCAGGGCAAAATGGGGTAGGTATTTTGAGGACAGGAGTATCACAGAAAACAGACAGGTGAGAAGAGAGGAAGAAGGAAGATGCCATGATGTTTTAGCATAGAGAAGTAACCATGTGGACTGGGAGGAAGGACTCCAAGGATAGTGTGGATGCAGAAAACACCAAGATGATAAATATAAACAAGTATATTAGGATTACAGATAGAAGGATGAGAATTATTAAGGTGGATGGCATTGGATGGGGACTGGGTGGTAGGATTATTGAGACAGCATAGGTGAAATATCTGCCTGACCCAAGGTAAATAAGACAATTATAAAGTCTAACAGGTGTTTCTGTCTTATTATTTGTGATAGCAGGTTAGACAATGCCGCCGTAATAATCTTAAGGCTAATAATAAACATTATATAGACCAACACTCAATTATTATTTACTACAATTATATGAAATGACATTAAAGGTTAGATACTGACTCCCTGGCATCTTAGAGTTTCTTTCTGCCACTTTCTGGTCACATTAAGATAAAAATGTGTTATTGAAGTGGAAATCTCAATGTTCAAAAGTAAAAAATAAAAACTGTCCAAGTTGAAGACAAGAAACAACTCAAATGAACGCAATGCCAATATAAATTCCTGCTTTTGTCACTTTCTATATGCTATGTGATTTTTTTTTGTTTGTTCTATAAACCTTTCTCCATAACCTCTCTTCTTTCTTAGAACATAGACTGGCCTTATTTACAGTATTTCTCATCTCTCAGCTTTCTGAGAGATGAGACTGTTTTATATGATAAAACTATACAACTGTACCCTTCTCAGTTTAGTCTACTTTTAACCAAAACTTTCACATCTTCTCCCATCTTTTTTTTATCTCTACAATTTCTTTTCTATGTAATGCTCCTCCTCTCTTTCCTACCAAGAAACATTCTGTTAATCACTAGTACCTCTATGGTTTGCATCTTATTTCACTCCCCCAGCAACTTTTTAACTTATACCAAACCAAAGTAACTAACATGTCAGCACAGAGAGGATTGAGTTTACCTTACTCTCTAAACTATAAGTGACTGTTTCATAATAAAGGACTAATATATTGTCATAAAAGTCTTACTGATGGACAGTGACTCATGCTGGAGACACTGACCAACTATCTGAGAATTAGTGGGGGGAAAGGTTGCAACATGTCACCCAAGCATAACAAAAACCCCATCACCCCAACTCCACTAACGCCTACACTTTTTTTTAACACTGGAAACACTGCCACTTGAAGGAGAATAAAATGACCTGGATTAAAGGAACAACAAAGCTTAGTCACTGATGTAAACACAGATGGGCAAATGCTAGTGCTAAGACACAAGTAACATGAAAAACCAAATAAATTCTCCTTCAACAATTATTAAGAGAAACATAATTATATACATAATAATTATTAAGAGAATAACTCAAGCAATTAAGATGATTAGAAATATGTTCAAAGAAATCATATAGTACAAGACTATCTTGTGAATTAATCCCAAGAAAACAGCAAATGCTGAAAAAAGTAAAGAAATTGATTCAGGGTATTAAAATGGAGTTTGATTAAAAAGAAATACAAATTGAAAAAATTGTAATAAATAATAAATAACAATAAAAGAAGAAAAAGATAGATATACAGAAAAGAAACAAAAGTAAAATGATAACAAATGAAAAATTCATTAATTCATATATAAAATTCAGTGGAAAGTCTCACAGATAGAACAGATCAGAGAGCAGACAGAATATGAGGGCATGAACACAAGACAGAAGAAAAGAATCATTCAGTTATGGTTAGTGATCAATTTGACATAGAGAGTGGACAGAACTTGAAAAGGTTTTTGGGAGATCAGGAATAAAAAACAAAAGCAAACTTCCTAAATCCTGGGAAGGAGTGTTCATGCCAATACAAAAATGCAGAGATAACATCACAAAGAAAAGATCAGAAGAAAAAAAATCTTGACATGTCATATTAAAGCTAAAAAAAAAAGACAATACAAGGAATAAATAAGGTGTACTGAAAGACACACGAAGGAAGGAACAAGTCACATATCAAGACAGTCCATCAGCCTAACAGCTGAGTTTTCGGTGCGAACCATGAAAGCCCAGAGGGCTTACAAAAATGTATTTCATATTCTGAAAATCAAGAGCTGTGGAACAAAATCAATATAACCAACAAAATGTGGATTGTGATTAAAGAAGACACAAAAACTATCCATGATAGATCACTCTAAATGATTTTATTCTTGTACAGAACATACTGGAATATTTCAGACTGATGAAAATGATAAACACATCAAAGAGTCTAGAGGAAAAGATAAATTATGCTAAGATAGCTGTTAAGGAACAGAGAGCTAAGAAAATAGACAGTAGAAAACCAATAAATGACAAGAATTAGCTGACATCCATTTCAAGGGATGATTCAATATATGTAAATGCATAAATGTAAATCTCAACATAAATGGGCTCAAGGACAGAAATTATAGAATCGATTATTTCATCCCTAACAACTCCACATCAAACCTGCACCAAAATCTGTTAAAACCACGTGTGTTTTGCAAATACACAGAAGGATACTGGGTCAGAACACTCAATAGAGACGAGAAGATGTGGAAGACAATAAAGTATGAAGGATATAGCATGAGAAAAATTTTACCTGGTATGTTAATTAAAAGTAAATTAAAATTTTATTATATCTAAAAGTAGCCTACATACCTATAGAGAAAAATAATGGACTGAAAAGTCCATTGTTAAAATCTTCTTGGTATTTTTCACAAAGGGATCCTGAGGATTATTGAGGGAATCCACCTTCACTCCGAATGAGGTGCCTATGATCACATCCATGCTGTAGGCCCCAAAGATGCTGACCAGAGAGACGGGGCAGTTAGTGTGCGCCCAGCAAAACTCTGCCTTGTGCTCCTAATACATATACACTTCCCAGACTCTCAGAAACTATGTTGCTCTGAGGGAAATCATCTCTGGGCAGTGTAAGAACTTAGAATGTTTCTGGTTATATTGTGTAAATAGACTCACCAGGTTTTTGGTATGTTAGAGCCATGTGGCCATTTGTGTTCAGGGTCCTCACAGCTTAAAGCTGTGGGGTCATCATAAGATAATGCTTTTGACTCTCCATTTCATTTCCAAAACCTTCTTGCTTTTGAGTTTGATGGAGAGGGAAGAGAAATTTTTGGGGTTTTTTCCTAACATTTTAGATTTTTCAGTGTTGCAAGATGTAACCCTGGCCTAACCAACTGCCTCAGTGTATACCGACTACCGCTGCCAATCTCCACAAATGCAGCTATTCCAAGATTATGTATTTTTCTAAGCTAGATAATTTGACTTCTAGAATATACAAGACCACACAAATAACCTAATTTTGTCTGATGTCCACAGAGGGGAATATTTTTTTTCTACCAAGATAATCTGGGAGTTACTGCTTTTCAAATAGCTCACAACAGGGTAACATCAAACCCTTCCTTTACTCTGGCTCTGGAATAACTTAACCCTGGGAACATTAGCTACCTGGCAGGCAGGGGCCATCTCCAGATGGGTCACAGAGTCCCCAGAAAATGAATGCACCACTCCTCACTCTTTCACGGTAATGGGCTTGCCTTTCTCTACTTCCTGACTTAAATTTTTCACCAGTACGTCGCCATACTGTTGAATGATGGGAACATCTAAACACAAAACACGGCATGGTTCACTATTAATGTGAAGGTCTGTGTTCCCCAGACAGCAAGACACTGACAATTATGGGAAGACAGTCACATTTTAGGTGGCGTGTATAAGACCTAAAGTGAAAAAAGACCATTCTTAGTAATGTAAAACTCAAAGGAACATCTCTTTGAAAAGAATATTACTTTCTCCTGTCCTCAGATAGAATCTATTACATTTACAACAGTCATTCATTTTCTTTACCTCCTTCAGTTTTCCACTAGTGAAAATTGGAGTTAGCAATGTTCGAAGTCTTTTCCATTCTTCATCCTCAGCTCTGTTGATACCCTTTTTCATGATTCCACTTGGACCAAAAGGCTACAATACCAAGAAAAATATATTTTGCCCCACATGGGATTGGTTATCTTTATAGTGTAATTCCAGGATCATGGGACCTGCAGAGGCCACAAGGAGATAACTTGATGCAATAGCAAGAGAGATTTATTATGAGAGGGATTGAACTCGGGACCCAAGTCTCACTGACGCAGCAGTGGAGAAGCTGCTGAAGGACCTCAAGCTCTGAGTGAGCAGGATTTTTAAAGAGAAAGTCTGTGAGCAGGGGGTTTCCATGTGAGCAAGCGGGGGGGGGCACATGTTTCCATGACAGCAAGCAGGGGGGTTCATGCCTTGATGTTACGGGAGTAGATAAAAGTTAGAGGGGCGAGGTGACCTTCTCTGAGGCACAATGGCCTAAGACACATGATCACAATTGCTATTTTTCTAAACTATATCTGAAACATTGGGGAGAATTTTCCCACCCAATTCCCAACCGATTCTTATTGATTATTGCCAGGGAGATTGTCTCTATTTTCTATGAAGTATTTATTCTGTGATATTTCCTGGAATCTGTTGCTAGGAGAGTTTACTTTGTTTTCTGGTAAGTGCACATTTTGTGATATTTCCTGGTACCTGAATTCAGCTCCAGTCAAGAAGGCTCTTTATTTCAAAATGGAGTTATACCCAGGCTAACTTAAACTTTTCAATAGTTGTAAAACAGCACATAGTTACCAACCTCTTACTTGCTTTGCCTGTTTTATGCTAATGTCTCAATAAATATTCATTAAAAGTTTCCCAGACTGGGGCTGGAGCAGTGGCAGGTAAATGAGTGGAACTAAAAAATATCCTATTGAGTAAGACAACCCAGACCAAGAAAGAGAAACAGCACATCTTCGTTCTTATTTGTGGTTTCTAGTTCCAAACCTTCAGATTTGCGTATACAATGGGGAGTAACCACAGACAATAAAAAGAGATCATGAAAAGGGGAACTCCTTGAGAGAAATAGTAGAATACAGGTAATATGCAGGGATAATGGGAAAAATAGAGTGTTTTCAGTTGGGTAAGAGAAAGGAACGAGAATATAGAAGAAGATGGCAAGAGGAGGGATACGTAACACTAGAACACTTGGTAGAGGCGTAAGGAATTACTACTTTATACTTACTTATAATTACACTATGTTATGATATTTGTGCGTGTACATGTATACATTACATGAACTTATGACACTTGAGGTGATAATATTCCCAAGAGCAAGAGACTAGAGCCAGCCATGAGAATCCTCCTTTGAGCTCTTGGTCAAGAAATACTAAGGGAATACACACAAACAGACACACACACACACACACATATATGAAAAAGTATAAATATAAACATATATATTCCTTTTGGTATTGCTCTTGTTTGCGTCCCAGAGTTTGAAGATAAGTGCATATTGCTGAAGATACCATGTAATTTAGACAAAAGACTCAGAGAATTTGAGCTGTAACTGACCCCAAAGCACTGAAGACTAGCTTTCATATTACCAGATGGTTGTGTACAAACTATTAATGGAAGGAAGCAATCAACAGTCCTACCTAGTTAAGGTGCCTATGGACCAAAACAAGGAGTGTCACGGCAAGTTATCCCTAACGCTGCAACAGTGGCACTGATATATTGGTACATAGTCAACAGGTGTCTAATTGGACTCAGCGCCTTCTTAAAGGAGGGAATTGATACCTGGTAGTGAAAACCTACCTCAATGCAAAGTACTAATGAGGTTATGGATGGTACAGATGAGCCAAATTTGCTCACTCTTCTAAAACAGTATACTTACTTAACTGTCTTGCAAAACTTATTTTTAGCTAAATGTAGATCTCTCTGCTCATCAAAAAGACTCATTTGAAACACAAGGAGAACATTACATAAAAATAGAAGTAGTAAAAAGACGAGAACAACTCTCCATAGTATTCTTCCCCCAGATGATATATATACAATGCGACTTTTACACATAAAGCTAAGAAAATACTGCAGAAAGGGGACCAGAGAATCAAGAATTATATGAAATCGTGGCTGCTGGCTATACCAAGGAAGTTAGTACACATATGAAATATTAACAATCTGACTGCCTAAACAAGACCTACACAATTCCAACAACAGCAGAAATGGGGAAAATCTCATGGGACACACCCCTAGATTCAAGAGCTAAAGGCAATTAACAGAAGCTGAGAGAGGAAGAATTAGTCTTTCTTAGTGTGAAACATTCTGATGGGTTGTTCAATACTAACCAGTCATCTCTAAAACATACACACGCAGGCAACACTGAGTGGACTCAGAAGTTTGTACTTATGTGTCTTCATCTATATTTTTATATATTCAAGAAGTGGATGTCATGGCCTGGAGGCATACACCTTCAATTCTAACACTTAGGAGACAGAGGTGGGCAGATTTCTGTGTGTCTGCAGTCATCATGATCTACATAGTGGGTTACAGGATAACCAGGGTATATAGTGAGACCCTGCCTCAAAAATAAACAAATAGGTAGATAGATAGATGATACATAGATGATAGATAGATAGATAGATAGATAGATAGATAGATAGATAGAAGAAGAGAAGTTGTGGACTTGTAAGAAATTATACTTCATTAAAATGGTATAAAAGTATCATTCTAAGCTGCCCATATCAACTACACTCATTTAGCTGGGCGTGGTAGTTCCCGCCTATAATCCCAGTACTCGGGAAGGCAGAGGCAGACAAGTCTCACAGACTGGCTTTGAGGCCAGCCTTGCTCACAGACTTTTCTTCCTTTCTTTTAAGGAAAAATTCTCCTTGGGGAAGGTTGAGGGCCCCTTTGAACAAAACTACATGAAGACTATGTAGAACTTCCTTATACATTGTTGGCAACTTAAAATGAATCCATAACTACTTCACGATAATGCATTTTTTTCTTTTTTTGTTTTGTGGTATTGGATACTGAACACCAGGCCTTATGGATGCCAGGTAAGCACTATACCACTGAGCTGTATCCTTAGCCACTCACAATAGAATTTTAAAATGAATGCTCATATTTTCATTTTTTGGAATTATTATATTACATTTCTCCATTCCCAAGTCTTTCTCCAAAGCATCCCATACACCCCTTCTTGATCTCTTTCATATTGATGGCCAATTTTCTCATAAATTGTCATGTGTTTACATATATATTTCTAAATATAACCTGTTCAGTGTGCATATTGTTCACATTTTTTTAAAAAGCAAGGCCTACCCGCCGATTTGTGAAGGCAGAGTAACACTCCTTCACTAGCCTTCACTGATCATGTCTGCTCTTGTAATGCCCAGGGTGGGTTGCAGCCCCTCATACATCCTGTATTGGGAAAACAGAGATGATTAAACTTTGATTCTGATGTTACCTCTGGTTCCACAAGGCACAGCAACAATCGCTTCTAGTTCAGCTTAGGCTTTCTAACTACAGAAGCCACTAGTTAGCTCAGGAAATGGAGAATAACACAACCCAGGCAAGGATGAAATAAATAGCAACAAAATATCTCTTAAAATTCTTACTAGTTAGGGCTAAACTTGAGCATCTGATACATCTGAGAGATTCCATCCACGCTTGGGAATGAAGCACGCTGTTCTTACTAATTTAAGTGCATGGAAACATTTATTGGACTTTGTGAAGAAAACAGAAATACAAGCAATCTGAGAATCCCAGCAGCCATCAGGGTGAAAGGAGAAAGAACAGGTGATAATTATCTTCAGCTACCCATTGAAGGCTGAAGGAACAGTGAGAAAGTTCAAAAACATCATGGAAGAGAGGAGTGCTTAGAATGCCAAAATGCAAATCAGAGTTCAGATGACATTGAATTTTAAGCTTTTATATTCCAAGGTCAAGGATAGTAAGAACATTAGAGCTGTAATTACACAAAATGATAAACTTAAGGATGGGAGCCCAATGATATTAAAGATAGTAATCTGGTGACCCAAGAAAAGAGCCAAAAGGTATACGACCGCACAGCCCGTAACAGGCAATTTCCTACCCAGCTCCTCAAATTTGTGTTTCGCAGATTGCATCTTTGCTTTTACCCAAATGTGCATCACTATGAGAAGATACTCTCATGAACTATGAGCACATATTTCATGTGGCTGAAATAATGCATTTCACACTACTTAAGGAGACCTAAGAAAGAATAAATGGAGTGAAGATCCCTTAAAAGACAAGGGACAGAGTAAGTCTAGATATTGTGGATCATCAAAGGATGCAGACAAGTCCTTACCTGCAACATCCTCAGACTTTCAGACTGGGGGTCACAACCTAAATGAACATAAGCAACCTGGGCAGGACCGGCTTTCAGACACTTCAAAACAGACAAACGTGTTTTGGGTGATTGTGTCACTCTGGGCTGACGGTGTGCCGGCTCAATGGAAATCTCCCGAGGACTCACCCCCACATGTCCCCATACTTTCTTCCACATGCTACATCCAATTTCCACACACCCTGGGGAGAGAAATAAGATGAAAAAGCGTCATCTTTCTACATGTATTGACCCCTAACCGAGAAATGAATGACTCAAATACCAGGACACCGGTTTGTTTGTTTGTTTGTTTGTTTGTTTGTTTTTACTTCTCTAACTAGTGGTTAAAAGGTCTCTGAGTGGAGAGAAGAAAATAGAGGGGATGCTTGACAATCAGGATTTGGAGATGTTCATGATTTCTTTTGTCAAAGTATTGTGCATTCCAAAACTTCTATCTCTTTATTTAAAGGAGGCATTTGTTTCTTTTTCTGTGCTAAATTTCTGGTTATGTATCTACTCTGAAATCCCGAAACACTGTGTTTTCTATTCCTTAGGTGCCTGAGAGGCCTGAGTCAGGAAGATTAAAAAAAAATTGTGTAGTATCTATTTCCTTCTTGCTTATTGACCCTTTCACTCACCTGATGGCTTCCCTAGAATTATAGTCTGACCAGCACCTTGAAGATATCATTTATCCCAAAGTATATTAGATTTATATAAATAGCATTGGTAATGTTAACTGAAGAGTAAGTGCAAGCAAAATAGATTGGCCTTTTAGTGTTTGTGCTCAAAATGGATAGATGAAGAGATACCAACTAACATAAAGCAAACATAAAATTGAATGCTTGGTTTGTGTTTTCACCTCTAAAGCTTGGAAAAATCATATACCTTGTGCTTAAGTGTTGATTGTAATTTTGGGGGCGAGAGTCCCATGTATCTCAGCCTTGCCTCAAACTCTCTGAATTTTTAGGGTGACCCTGAAATCCTGTTCTACCTGATTTTTCACTGGTAGACTGGGATTACAGCTGTGTGCCACCATTCTAGTTTATATTGTGCTAGGATCAAACCTGGAGCTTTGTCTATGCTAGACAAATACCTTCAGACTGAAATTCATCTTCAGCATTGTGATTTTAAACTGTGAAAGTAGGTCTCTGAGCAAGTGATAGAAATTAGCCTGTAGAGTGTTTGCCTCATACAGACAGGCCAGCTTATGCAACACTTTCTCAGAGGCCATGATGAAAGGAAAAGGAAACATTAGTTCTGTGTCTCTGTCCAGGAGCAGATGTGCCAAGTTCAGTTCTAAGGCTGGAGTCTGTTCCTCAAAAGAGTCAAGTTTGTAGTGTACTGGGATCAGACTCTTTCGCCAGTTTGTCTGAGGTATTTTGTTGTATCTTGTGTTCCCTTTACCAACATTGTCTGATTTATCTCGCTGCTGGCCTTTGCCATTTTCTCCTGCAAATATCATGTTAGAAGCTATGCTGCTTAATAAAAGTGCTTGGTAAAGTCTCCAGCTCATACGAGACAGCGGGTCTCACCTATCTGCCGTCTTCTCGTCTCTGGTCCTCCACGTGCACAATTTTGCCATTTGGAGTCCTTGTCCCTGCAGGTCAAGTGCAACTGTGCACAACATGGGGCTCATGCATAAGAGAAATGCTGAAGGTCAATGACTGCTGCGATGCAGACGTGAAGTATCAGACTGGGGGACTGCATGACAGAAAAGAGGGGGGACAGAATCGCTGAGAGATTCAAAAGAGTATCCTCTTTTCCTTTTTAGGCTTTACTTGCATCTACATTCTCATTCTGGTAATGAAGAACAGAGGTGGAAAGAACAAGCAGTCCCACCTATTTGTCTCCTTTTTTTCTCATCTTTGGTCTTCCCCATGAATACCTCAACATTAGGAACCCTCATTCCTATGGACTATAGTCAGCCTAGCATGAGCCAAGGCCTGGCTTTCATACCCAACTCCCTATCATTAACCCTAAAGTGAGAGGTTGAGTAAGGAGATACAGGAATCTATTGTCATCATTTGTACAACAGTCTTCATTGCAGGACATACTACCTATAACTAAGACAAAACAAGGGCAAACAGTATATTTCAGAGGATATTTAACAAAGAAGTCATCTGAAAATGAAATGGAAATTATTGCTTTTTCATATGGGGCAGATGCAGGAAACACTTAGGAAATTAAACAATGAAGCCTTTGTCTTGAAAGAATTACTTTCTGATAAATTAGACTTAGTATTCGGAAAAGCAACTCTTCCAAAGGTGTGCTCTGCACACAGACACTGATACGGGTCATTCGGTATGAGCTTGGGAATGACAGCCCAGGAGCCCTTCCTTTTAGAAAGTATCCATAAAGTCCCTGTGTTAATTCAAAAGACAAATTATATGTGTATATGTGTATATTTAGTGTATGGGTATGCATATGTTATTATATGTTACATATGTGTATGTATTATATATGTGTGTATAGTATTTCATTCACAATTATTTTTTACAAATTTGTCAAATAATTATTTTTTATATACTGATTTACATTTTGTTTAAATATCTGAGGTTTATAGGAAACATCATCTCATCTTTCACATTCTCAGTCCTTAAAGTCATGTATTCTATTTTGAAATAAAATGAGTAAAGCCAAATGTTTTTATTTGACATCTCAATGTGCCTTTCTCTCTCTCTCTCTCTCTCTCTCTCTCTCTCTCTCTCTCTCACACACACACACACACACACACACACACACACACAAAGTCATAGGTGGCAGAAGCTTGGCCAGAGCCTTGGGAATAAAAACAAAGGCTATCATAATTATATTGAGTATTCTAATATCTGCATATCCTTCACATGTAACTATGTGGCCCATGAGCATGTCCCAGAGCCACTCAGAAAGAAGGACAAATGTTGTTGTTGAACTCTGGTGTCAATGAGTGTCACTCAGGAGTCCTGACATGCATTTTCTTTAAATCCTAAATTAATATAACTGTATTTTTCTGAAATGTGTACTGAAAATACCTAAATCTGGTGCACCAGAATTCTATTCATCGGGTTTTTAGCTCCAGGTGCTGTGCCAACATCCAGGATTAACACCTCAAACAAATCTGAAGTTCCAAATGTGTCAAAAAACATGAGAGATGGCAGAGCAATGATCTTGGTATAATACAAACAATTCTGAAAGCTGAAAGCTGAAAGCCTCAGCATTTCATCCCAATGGCCATTTGCACTGAGAGACTGACACCTGTTTCCTGACACTTGTGTAAATGACACACTCACAAGAAACAAAGTAGGAAACCCAACATCACTCACCTTCCTGTAGTCAAGCATCGACCCAACAAACGGCAGAGGTTTAGGGCCAGGAATTCCTAATTTCTTAAACAGTCCATGGGAAGAGGTCCCATAACTAAAAGATAAAGGAGAAAAATGGATCATGGGCTTATTGAACAGACACAGGCACACAAACACACTCATACACGTATGTATATACATTAACATGTAAATACAAACTTTTATCCATATATATGCAATATATAGATATTCACACATGTACACTCATAAAAGTACATATTCACTTATGTTCTCACTTACGGATAATATTTAGCCAGTATATAAATACATACTGATTTCTTTCCCCTTGGATACAAAGACTAAAAGTAAAATAGTAGATGGAACTTAAGATAAAAAAAATGCATAGCAATAATTCTTGTCACATGCTTTCTTATCATAAACTTTTAGGTTAACACTTGATGGTTCCAGTCCTAGACTTAGTATGTAACATAATTTCTAAACTCAAGTTTGAATATTACTGAGCAGATCACCCAAATTAGGAAGTGAACACAACTCACCACTGTGAGCAACCCAAAATGCAAGATCCATAAGATCCCTCCTGAATGTCATATAAGCAGGGAACAGTGAGTGTGCTCAGCAGAGAGGAGAGCCAGCCAGCAGAGCCTCCTGACCAGGCTTCTCCTATCCCACAGTCTGAAAATTGTGCATAGCTTCCAAGACACAGCTTTTGGGCTGCAAAATGGCTGAGCATTTAAAAGCATTTGCTTCAGTGGTAGAAAAATCCACTTATACTTTCTAGGACCCACGTGGGGTCTCACACTGGTATACAATTCTAGTTCCTGGAAATCCAATGCATTTTAAACCTGCGTTGGCACCTGAAATGCATGGTGTAATGCTAGGATCACGGGACCCTCCGAGACCACCAGAAGATGACTCAATGCAAGAGCAAGAGAGCTTTATTACAAGAGTGATTGAACTCAGGACCCAAGTCTTATTGACACAGCAGTAGAGAAGTGGAACCCTGAGCCCTGAGTGAGCAGGGTTTTTAAAGGGAAAGACTGTAAGGGGGGATTCCATGAGAGCAAGAAGGGGGTTTATATTTTCATGAGAGAAAGCAGGGGGGTTCATGCCTTGATGTTACAGAATTGGGTAATCACAATTGCCAGGGTGATTGTCTCTATTTTTTTACTAAATATTTATTCTGTAATATTTCCTGGAGGCTGTTGCTTGAAGGGCTAACTCTGTTTTCTGGCTAACTTTGTTTTCTGCCAGGTGCACATTCTGTGATATTTCCTGGTACCTGAGTTCAGCTCCTGGTCAAGATGTCTCCTTATTTCAAAATGGAGTCACCCAAGCTAACTTAAACTCTTCATTCCCCTCCTTTTTGTTAAAAGAGGCCAACCTTGGGCTCTTACAGTCCATGGTCAGCTCTAAACTAATAGTACTGGGTTCTCATTACCATCAACTGTATAATCCCTAATCTTTGTCTAATATATCCTAACAATTTATTAAGCAAGCATAATCCAAAAATGACCAAAAGCAAAAGATTCTGCCTTTGAACTGTTATAATTCTGGCTTTGCACAACCAGTATTGCAATACTATTTCTGCTCCAGCTAAGCAGGTCCCCAAAATAATAGCTAATGTCAGGGAACTCCCTTTGATTTAGCATTTCAGCCAGTAGGTGGGATTTTTGGGCCGTGGTCTCTTTTTCAGAAATTGCTTCAATTCTGACAATAGGACTGTTGCCATCAGGGGCAAGGAAGGCTGAAATGCCATCCAAAGGCTGGGCAGTGGGACAGTCCTCAGAAGCATTTGGTTAGTTGATCCATCTGAGGAGGCAGTGAGCAATCATGTCAGCTTCCAGCAAGTTTAGATTTCAGCTTTCAGTCTCAACCAGGTGAAAATGTGCTGAGACAAATTCAAATTAGAAACAGAAGTTAAAATTTGTCTAATAAATGGAAAAATTGAGAACTTCCAAAACCAAAACCATCTGCGGTCCATTTGAGCTATGTCAGAGTCAAGTCTCATGACTTTTTGATTTGCAAAAGGAAATATATAGAAAGACTAAAAAAATAATATATTAATAAATTTTTGTGAATAACAGATAAACTTGCATCCAACAGAATGAGTGTCAATTCTTCTTAGCTGTTTGTTTTGTAACCTTTATAAGTAATTTAAATGTGTCCATGGTATGAAACTTTAACATTTTAACTGTGGGTACAGCTGTTGGTAATCAGACATCATGCCATTTCTTATATACTGGAAAGTTAGGCAGAAATACATTAATGGCTTTAGTGCTAAACTCTAAATACTTGAACTTTTCTTAGCAAAGCAATTAGATAAGATGAATCTGTTTGCCTTTTAAAACAGAAAACCTAGTACTTAATAATTTTAACTAACTAGTAAATTAACCAATAAATCTAATTATCTGCTCTTTAGCTGCAAGGCTAACATTAGTTTAGCTTAGCCACCAATGTGATCAGAGACCTGAGAAGGAAAAATTATGAGCCAAATAAATGTACTGATCCATGTATCAATCAAAATGACAGTGACAACTAGTCAGTCCATCACCATACGCAGCTGTCCCTGGCTCCTGTGGTCTCCTGGCATCATGAGCAGGGTGGTCCAGCGACCAGGCACAGAAGATGAGGGACTGTTTTTGTGAAGAAAGAAACAAGAGAATGGCCTCACCTTGCCCTTAACAATGTGAAACATTGACTCTCCAGGTGTCCACAGTTTAGGCTGGGCCCTAGCAGTGGGCCAGTTGGGGCAGTCTTGCCCAGTGGTTAGCATACCATAATCCAGAGTCACATTGTGCCCAAATCTTCTTGGAGATCTTGGGGAGCTACTACCAGGATTTTGGGCCTCTCTGTCATAATAAGCTTACTTACACATGTTAAAATGCCATATTCATCACATCTCTGACAAGCTTGAGGACCAGCAAATCTTGCTCATCCTATCATATTGCATCAAAACTAAACAGCAAAAAAGCAAAAAGGACAAAAATTTTGTTAACACTAAACCGAGAACTAAACACATCTGGCAACCTTAGCAGAGATGGATAATTCTGGCCATTTCAAACCTATCAGCCAGAAAGAAACAGCATTAAATCATTTATATAGGAACTGGCAACCAGGCATATATTTTTATAATAGTTGGCAATAACTTAAATATAACCTTATATAATCCTGGGCTAACATGGAGCTGCAAGAAAAAACATAAAAAACATTTTGTATTGAAGAAGCATCAGCCTTTTAAATGAAGAGCAACATATCTTACAGTTCTTTTTCAAATCATGCTTGCAGGTATAAAAAAAATACAATTTATACCTTCTATAACTCTATACCCTTCAGGTTAGGCTTTTCCCAGATTTATTCTTTTGATTTAACCACACATTTTTCTTGATTTTCAGACCATATAAAAGTTTCCATCAGAACCCTTTTCATTATTTTATCATTCTAACATAATACATTATAAAAACTACAATTTTCCTTTTTTTATTTTCTTAATTGGCTCAAATAGTATGGCTTGGTTTTATTTGGTAAAATTGAAAAAATAAATACCAAAGTCTTTTGACCTTCCCCAAAGGATTGAGAAACTGTTTTCAAATTTCCTGTTAGAATGCCCATGGTCATTGTCTAAAATGCCTAATAAACTTTAAAATATTTTACAGCCATAAACATATTTTTAAACCTGTGTTTGCAATTTCAAAATACCCTTTTAAGAAATGAAATCACAAAGTATAACTATAATTTTAAAAATCAAAACCAAATTTCATCTTTCAGAAAGATTCTATTTCCTACAGCAAAGACAGTGGGAAGGTGGAAAGTTCCTTCTGGCTACCAGCCCACAATGAAGGTGGGCCATTCTGAGCTGCAAAAAGTCAGCATTTTTCCTTTCCTCACATCAACTGAAAGACCGTGAGCTCTAGTCTTAACTTCCCTAAAATGAGTCAGAATGAAGTCAAGGGGTCTGTCCCATATCGTCAGTCAGTCTTTTCATCAAAAAGAAACCAAAGAAATGAATCAGACAATTTCAACAAACAGTAAATCACACAGAGATGGAGCTGGTTGTCTCAGGCAAAAGGAAAACTAAACACAATAAATCAGAGCCTGTACCTGGGCTAGTATCCCGGGACAAAACTAAAATCACAGAAATTAAAAGAGCTGCAGCTTCAAACAGAAATAAAACCAAGCAAATCAGACGGCAAACAATTAATCACAGAAATGAAACAGTAACTCCTGGCACAACACCAAGCAAGAGACAATTAATCACACGCAGAGACGAAGTAAAACCAAAAACCTGGCTTTTCCCGGACTTCTCCACAATAGAAGTTCCAGAAAGGCTAAAACTGATCCCCATTCCAGCTTTCCTGCCACAGAAATTCTGGAGGGGTTAAAACTGATTCCATTTCAGTTTACTTGCCACAGAAATACCGTATGGGTAAAAACCAGATCCTGAATCCGGCTTCCCTGCCACAGAAGTTCCGAATGGCTAAACTGGTGAGAGGATGAAATGTCTCTGACACCTCCTCGGGCAGTGGCTGTCTTGGACATCTCCCAAAGTCGTATTCTGCCCCCTGACTGAGGGTTAACCAAAACCATATAACAAAAAACTTCGGACAACACAAAACATTTACCTGCAGGAGTAAGCTCTCCAGGGCTAGAGGGCTTGAGGCATCCCGGACGAGTCCCCAAATGTAATGCCAGGATCACAGAACCCTCAGAGACCACCAGGAGATGACTCAATGCAAGAATAAGAGAGCTTTATTACGAGAGTGATCGAACTCGGGACCCAAGTCTCACTGACACAGCAGAAGAGAAGTGGGACCCCGAACCCTGAGTGAGCAGGGTTTTTAAAGGGAAAGACTGTAAGGAGGGGGTTCCATGAGAGCAAGCAGGGGGGGTTCATGTTTCCATGAGAGAAAGCAGGGGGGGTTCACGCCTTGATGTTACAGAATTGGGTAATCACAATTACCAGGGTGGATTGTCTCTATTTTTTACTAAACATTTATTCTATAATATTTCCTGGAGGCTGTTGCTTGGAGAGCTAACTTTGTCTTCTTCCAGGTGCACATTCTGTGATATTTCCTGGTACCTGAGTTTAGCTCCTGGTCAAGATGTCTCCTTATTTCAAAATGGAGTCACCCAGGCTAACTTAAACTCTTCAATGGGATGCACATACAAACGTGCAGGCAAAATATTCATATGAACAAAATAAAAATAAGTTTGTGTTCTAAAGATACAGCTTTTGCAAGTCATCATCATGTGTTCAGATGTGGAGTTCTGAGGCTGCAGATGAGCCATTCATGCTCCTGCAAGTAACATGTCAAACAAACTCCTGTAATGAGCTCATGAGCTCTTGTCTATCATTGGAGGAATGGCTATCTTTGACTGTCGGTGGCACCGTACTGAGGTCATAGAATGTTTTCCTTCCATTTTCCCAAGGAAAAATGAACAGCACCATGTGTTTCCCAAATTACATCATGAGGGCATGAACTACATAAAACATCATTTCTCTGCCCTGCTTCTTCCTAGGAAGCACAATGTCAGCTTTTTGTACTGAGATGATCAGTCATAGGCACTTAGTTAATTAACTCACAGTAATCCAAGAACAAGCAAGCTGGAGTCTAAGTTTAATCATGAACATCTCAACTGTACACTCCCACACTGTGAGTTCTAGAACCTGCAAACCCTCCCTTCTCAATGTGACAAACAAATGACAGACTAATGACAGAAATCAAACTATAAAAACAGCTGCTTGTAACAATTTTAAGCATGCTGCTGAACATCTCACAACATTGGTACTTTAACAAGAGTTGATAATGTTTGGCTGAAAACCACAGTGAGATAAATGGTTTGGTTGACAGCAGAAATGTGTATAGATGCAGAAGTATGGATTTCAACTGCATTATAACTTTTGGTTCTCCAATATGGAACAAGGGCCTAGGAATCATTACAACTACAGCAGCACAGAGGAGAGGGGGCCAAACAGTTACTCACAGGTAGAGGAGCACCAGAACGGTAGACAGCAGTGCCCACATTTCCATAGAAAAGTTGGGAATCAGGTCCATTGTTTTCCTTCAAGAAATCTGTTCTCTAATTTTTCCTTTCAGGTGAGGGTTGAGTTCTTTTTCTGAGACCATTTATGAAACTGTGATACCTATCTGAAGTATTTATGTTCTAGGAAAAGAGGTAGGGTAGACCCTACCACCAATAGGAAGATAAACTGTGTATCTATAATGGGTATGGGAAAATAAGTAAACTCTTCAGTTGACAGTTCACAGTAGTTAACGCTAACCCATATTTTGACTTTTTCATAGTTAATCTTCTCTAGGAAAATAATAAGTAACTAAGCCAATATTCTTAGTAAAACCAGAGGTCATGGTTGTTTATCTATAATGCAATAGAGTAGGTGGCTTTAAATTTGCTTGGTTTCTCTGATTGTCTTCATTGAAAACTACATCAAATATTGGCACAAAGGCTACATTGGTAAATCTTGACACATGAATATTCATTGTTCTGGAATCTCAGTGTACTATAGAGGGTGAATTATATTTCATAAACACTTTGAGGGTAAAAATCACTTATTCTCTTTATAAATTCAAGTTTCTCTTGTATTACGCTTATTGTCTCTTTGCATCATTAATGATTTTCATCAATATTCCCCTTACACAGTGCAATTATTAAGGAAATAGTATATAATAAACACTATTACATAAAATATAATTGGAAATTGCTCAATTATATGCTCCCAGTCCTCATGTCAGTTAAGTACATTGAAGGTATTCTCAGAAATCTCAAAACATGTTAGTACTTCCTTCTTAGCTTAGTTTGGCCAAGAGAAAGCCCACATTTGATTCCTCTTCTTTTCTTTCTGTGCCTTCTCTCTGTCTGTCTGTAATCTGTGTCTATGAATCTTTATGTACCTGTTGTTTGTATAAAAAAGGAATTTGCACTATAATTATTAAACATCACTGCCAGAGCCTGCCAGCAGAGTTGAACAGTTCCTGAATGGGGAGTGAGAATTGAAAGGAAATAAAATCTGTTAGAAGAAAAAGTGGGGAAGAGCCTTGAATTCATTGGCACAAGAGACAACTTCCTGAACAGAACACCAACAGCACAGGCTCTGAGATCAACAATCAATAAATGGGACCTCATGAAACTGAAAAGCTTCTGTAAAGCAAAGGACACTGCCATCAGAACAAAATGAAAGCCTACAGATTAGGAAAGGATCTTCACCAACCCTATTAAAGGGTTAATATCAAGGATATATAAAGAACTGAAGTTAAACTGCAACAAGTCAAGTAATCCAATTAAAAAAAATGAGGTACAGAGCTAAACAGAAAATTCTCAGTAGAGGAACATCAAATGGCAGGGAAAGACTTAAAGAAATGCTTAACATTTATCTTTGTTGCTGAGGTGTGTTTCTTGGATGCAGCAGAATGTTGGATCCTGTTTCTGCAACCATTCTGTCAGTCTGTGTCTTTTTATTGGAGAGTTGGTAGATAATAGTGACCAATGAATGTTAATTTCTTTTGTTGTAGAGTTGGTGTTACTGTGTTTCATTGTTCTATTGTAATTTTTTGTAGTGTAGTTATTTATATATTATGTTTTCTGGGGTATAGTTGTTTTCACTGCATTGGAGTTTTCCTTCTAGTATCTTCTGTAGGGCTAGGTTGCTGTGTAGATACTGTTTAAGTTTAGTTTTGTCATGGAATATTTTGTTTTCTCCATCTATGTTGATTGAAAGCTTTGCAGGGTATAGTAGTCTGGGTTGGCATCTGTGGTCTCTTAAAGTATGCATGACATCTGCTCAGGCCCTTCTGGCTTTCATAGTTTCTGATGAGAAATCTGGTGTGATTCTGATAGGTCCACCTTTATATGTTACTTGGCCTTTTTCCCTTGCAGCTTTTAATATTTTTTCCTTGTTCTGTATGTTTAGTGTTTTGACTATGATGTGATGTGAAGAGTTTCTTTTCTGTTCTAGTCTATTTGGTGTTCTATAGGCCTCTTGTATGTTTATGGACATCTCTTTCTTTAAGTTGGGAAAATTTTCTTCTATGATTTTCTTGAAAATATTTTCCGGACCTTGGAGCCTGGTATCTTCTTTTTCATCTGGTCCTATTATTCTTAGATTTTGTCTTTTCATGGCATCCTTGATTTCTTGGATGTTTTGTTTTTGGAACTTTTCTGATTTTACTTTTTCTTTGAGAGACGTATTAATTTCTGCAAGTGTATCTTCAACACCTGAGATTCTCTCTTCCATCTCTTGTATTATACTGGTGATGATTACCTTTGTGATTCCTGATCTTTTCTCTAAGTTCTCCAGCTCCAGGATTTTCTATTTGTGTTTTTTTTTATTGATTCTAATTCTGTTTTCATGTCTTGCACTATTTCCTTCATCTGATTTAATGTGGATTCCTGTCTTTCTATGATGGCTTCTATTTTTTTTGTTCATTTTTTTCTCTATATGCCACTAACTGTGCCTCTGTTTGGTTGGCTGTATTTGCCTGTATTTCTTTGAGTGCTTTGTTCATTTCCTCTTTATTTGCCTCCACTTGTGTGGCTGTTTCTTTGAGAGAGTTGTTCATTTCCTCTTTATGTGTCTCTAATAACTGGATAAGCATTGTTTAAAGTTGTTTTCCTGTGTTTCCGATGAATTGAAATGTCCATTGATTTTGGAGGTTGCTGGTGAAGCCATAATGTCCTGATTTTTGTTGGGTGTGCTCTTAGGCAGGCCTCTGGCTATCTGCTTATCTGAAACCCTCACTGTTTGTTCCTGGAGTCTGTACTTCAGATTGGGTACCTCTTTCTATGGTTTTTGGACTATTTTTCAGGAATATGAGAGAGGTTCACTGGTTTGAGAGTGTGCATTGGTGTTTCAGCTGTACCTAAAGGAGGAATGTGACACTGGCACTGTTCCCAGGTGCAAATTCCCTGAATACCTCAGTGGCCTACAGGCCACTGGAATGAATATCTGTCTGGGCGTCAGGCGTTGTTTGCCTGGAATTGACTGGTAGACCCACAGATCAGGGGCTTCAATGTTGAGAATGCTGTCCCAAGAATCCCTATGTTGCCCACAATGGGGGTGTGGGTGGTAGGGATCTGATGTCTGGCTGCTTGCATAGAAGGACTCTGGATCTGGGGCTCTGCAAGCACTAACTTGAAGGCGCACTCACTCTCTAGAAGGAGAAAGCACAGGGGTTTCCCTTGTCCTCTACTCTCCAATTTGATCCTGCTGGGGCAAATGCAGGTGTAGGCAATAAGTCAGCTCAGTGGTACTGCAGCTGCAGAACTTGGTACTGTGTGTTAAAAAGTAACAAATCAAATAATCCAATTAAAAAATGGTGTACAGAGCTAGAGAATTCTCTGTAGAGAAATATAGAATGGCAGAGAAACACTTAAAGAAATCTCAAGTCCTTACTCATCAGGGAAAAACAAATCAAAACCACCCTGAGATTTCATCTTACACCCATCAGAATAGCTAAGATCAAAAACTCAAGTGACAACACATGCTGGAGAGGATGTGGAGAAAGGGGAAGCCTCCTCAATTGTTGGTGGGAATGTAAACTTGTACAACCACTTTGGAAATCAATCTGGTGCTTTCTCAAACAATTAGGAATAGTGCTACTTCAAGATCCAGCTATACCACTCCTAGGCATATATCCAAAATATGCTCAAGTACACAAGAAGGAGATTTTTTTCAACCATGTTCATAGCAGCTTTATTCGTAACAGCCAGAACCTGAAAACAACCAAGATGTCCCTCAACTGAGGAATGGATAGAGAAATTATGGTACATTTACACAATGGAATACTACTCAGCAATTAAAAATGAGGAAATCATGAAATTTGCAGGCAAATGCTGGAAACTAGAGAAGATCATCCTGAGTGAGGTATCCTGGAAGCAGAAAGACACACACAGTATATACTGACTTACAAGTGGATACTAGACATATAACATAAGAAAACCCTACAAAAATCTGTACACCTAAAGAAGCCAAGCAAGAAGGAGGACCCTGGGTAAGATGATCAATCCTCACTCAGAAAGACAAAAGGGATGGACATTGGAAGAAGGAGAAAACAGGAAACAGGACAGAAGCCTACCACAGAGGCCCTCTGAAAGATTCCACCCAGCAGGATATCAAAGCAGATTCTGAGACTCATAACCAAACTTTGGGCAGAGTGCAGGGAATCTTAGAAAAGAAGGGGGAGATAGTAAGACCTGGAGAGGACAGGAGCGCCACAAAGAGAGCAACAGTACCAAAGTATCTGGACACAGGGGTCTTTTCTGAGACTGATACTCTAACCAAGGAACATTCATGGATATAACCTAGAACCCCTGCTCAGATGTAGCCCATGGCAGCTCAGTATCCAAGTGAGTTCCCTAGTAATGGGAACAGAGACTGTCTCTGAACTCAATGGCTGGCTCTTTGATCACCTCCCCCTGAGGGGGGAACAGCCTTGCTGGGCCACAGAGGAAGACAATGTAGCCAGTCCTGATGAGACCTGATAAGCTAGGGTCAGATGGAAGGGGAGGAGGATGTCTGCTCTCAGAGGACTTGGAGAGAGGCTTGGGAGCAGATGAGGGAGGGAGGGTAGAATTGGGAGGAAATGAGAACTACAGCTGTGATACAGAGTGAATAAACTGTAATTAATATAAAAAATAAAATTAAAAAAAGAAATGTTTAATGTTCTTAGTCATCAGGGAAATGTAAACCAAAACACAAAATGCAAAACTGAGTTTTCACCTTACACCCATCAGAATGGCTAAGATCAAAAACTCAAAGTGACTACACACACTGGAGAGGATGTGTAGAAAGATGAACCCTCCTCCATTACTGGTGGGAAAGTAAACTTGTACAACCATTTTGGAAATCAATCTGGCACTTTCCTAGACAAATAAGAATAGTGCTACCTCAAGATCCAGCTATACCACTACTGGGCATATATCTAAAATATGCAAAGTCATACAGCAAGGACAGTTGCTCAACTTTGTTCATAGCAGATTTATTCATTCTCTGTCTTTTTTTCAATTTTTTTCTTGGGACTTGAGACTGTGAAAGAAAGAA